TGTCCCAGACACGGGCGAAGGAAGTCTAGCTGCCTCTAGCCTTCCGCTCAGCCACAGTGACATTCCTTGCCATCCACTCTCGGAAAGCTTGCACAAACTCTACCTCTCTGCAGAAACTCGGCCGGCCCGTGCCTCGGGCAGGGGGCGGGGCGGAGGTGGTGGGAGGAGCGAAAATGGTGGGAGGAGCCAAGGTGTGCTGGGGGCGGGAGCGCTCACCGGAAGTCGTATTCCAAGGTGGGCAGCAGCGGGGAAAGAGGCAGAGCTCTAGGCCTGCGGTGGTTTCGTGCGCGGCTCCTGTACCCCAGGTCCTGGTGGTTCTGGTGTCTCCCTATTTTGAGATCAGAGTTTACACCCTCTTTTCCAGCGTGCTGGCGCTGCGCGCCTTTTACTCTTGATTGGCTGCTGATTCTAGCGCTCTCCTTAGGCTTTACTGCTTCATGGGGGGGGGGGTTTGTTTTTCTGGGGGAGGGGAGACAAGGTCATGGAGAAGTCCATCTGGCGCTTGGAGCTAATGACCTAGGGAAAGGAAACGTTTGGTTTGGTTTGTCCCTTGACCGTTACTCAAATTACTTGACTTGGTTTTCTCGATCTTTGGTTTTTAAATCTCTAAAGAAAGATTGTGTATTTGAGCTACATTTGAGTTATAAAGTCGACTTTGATCACTTACTTAGCAAGAGCCCGGATTCTCCCCGTTAAGGTACACAGAAGCAAAAGGGAACTTTCCCCTTCCAAAATGGTTTAAGAACTTTTCTACCCAAGCCGGTCTGGGGCAGAGTTGAGGTGGTCAGCAAGAATATGGCCACCCTTTTGAAGTCCCTTAGAATCCTTTGAGTGAGCTGCTGCAGGAGCGACACACTCCCCCAAAGCTGGACTCTGGCAGTCTCTATCTAGTCTCCGCTGAGTGTGAGGAATGTGCCTGCCTGGAGAGTTCTAGAAGGTCAGGGCAGCACTTGCACAGAGCCAGGCGCCTAACATCTGAGGCTACCTCCTACTTGGATATAACCTCTTCTTCCATGAGATGATGTGGGTAGGTGGCTATCCAGAACCTTCCTCCAGCTAAAGGCATCCTTCAGGCCTACTGGATGCGGGTCAGTAGTCCTCAACTGGTTGCCTGAGAGGGGCTTCAGGGTACAATTAGGACAGCACTTGAAGCTGGCTTAATAGAGACACTGATAGGGTCAATGCAGAAGAGCTCCCACTAGGTTCCTTGTAGGCAAAGAGAGACTTATTTTTTTTTTATGTCTGTACAGGGTGTTTTACAAGCCCCTGCCCCCGCACCTGTCAACACAGCAAAGTCACCCGTGCCGCATAGCCAACAAAATAGGAACCCCGACTTCCCCCTGCGTGAGAATACAGAACAGATGTCTCCGTGTGTCTTTACATAAGCACATTATGCAACTGTCCTTTGATTAAATTTTGTGGGGCGAGGGAGGTGGGGGGGATGACACCTATCAGGACCCCCAGATTTGGAATCAATACCAACACTTTCTCAACAAGAACACCGGCCCTCGGAGCTTCCTATGTGCACGCATGTAGCTGCATGCATGTGTGTCAAAGGGAGTAAGCACGTTGTCTCACCCACTTCAGTGTTAATACCTGCCATATCTTGGCCGGTTAATTGTGGTTTGAAAACACTAGCGTACGACCCAGAGGAGCTGGGAGTGGGTGTAGTCTAGCGAGGTTACTTTCACTTGTAACCCTCCCCCCTCCCTTTCCAATTTCTTTGATGATTTTTCCCATAAATGCATAAGCTTCAGGGACTTAGTAGAAGCAGGCCGCTCCCCCTAAATGTGATTCGGACCATATGCTTTCTACATTCATCCTCGCATGGGCTTTTCTTCTCTGAACTAACTGCTAACACGTTATAGTCACCTTGAAATTTCCTCTGCTATTTTCCAATTAAAAGCTTAATAGCCCTGGAAACGGAGTTCATGTGGTGAAGTTTACCATAGCCCCTTGTTCTGAAAGGCTTTCTGCTGGGATCCCATTATGTGCTTGAATAAACCCTTTCTGCAAACAGAAATGGGACTCGGGGTTGTCAGGTGTTGGGTTACAATAGACTTTGAGGCAGGGGACATTTTACCAACATAAATACAAACCTGTCCCTATAGGGAGATGTTGTCAAATACTGGGATATGGAAAACATTCCCATCAAATATGAGAAAAGGATTACCGCGCTATATCAAATGAGTATTTAGATCTCAGCCCTCGATGTGCACTGGAGTGAAACGGGGCCCAGTACCAAATAATACCAGAGTGTGTGAGTGGTACTGCGATAGAGTGGCTAGGTGACCCAGGAAGGAAAGGGGATTGCTTTGAGAATGAAAATGTCCCCTTAAAACCTGGTGCAGAGCTCTGTTGCTCTCCTTCCTCAGAGAAACTAGTTACTCTTATTTTTCTGATCCGTTTCGCTAACCATTTAAGGAGAAATTCGGCTTTGATTAAAAAGTCCGCCGTCCTCCTCTTTCTTAGAGGCATAGATTTCAGAGCGAAACAGTAC